GTTTTGGACTACAACTCCCATCATCCCTAGCTAGCAAGACTAGTGGTTGGGGATGATGGGAGTTGTAGTCCAAAAACAGCTGTAGGCCTAAGTTGGGGAAACCCTGGGCTAGAGTGTCAGACTAGGAGCTGGGAGATCAGTGTTCAAATCCCTTCACTCAGCCATGAATCTCACTGGGTATCAGTCAGTGCTCCTCAGGCTAACCCAGTGTTTCCCAACCTTTTTTGGGCAAAGGCACACTTGTTTCATGAAAAAAATCTCGAGGCACACCACAGCCCCGTGACGCCAGCGCGCAGCGTCACGCCGGGAGGGACGCACGAAAGTGTAAGTTTCAATTCCCCCCCCCTTGCCTTCCTTCTGTGCCAACCGCCAAAAAGCCAAGAATCGCGGGACCGCCGGCGGAGGGGGGGAGGGCGAGCGGAGGCAGCGGCGAGCCCCGTTCCTCCCCATCCGCCCCATTCCGTGCAAGGAGCGCGAACAGGTGTAGAAGGGGGTCAAACCTGCGGGCCGGCGCCAGGGAACCTCCAAGCTTTGGGGGTGGGGGGGGAGGAGGCAGCAAAGCGAGGCAGGAAGGAGAGCGCGGCTTGGCTGGGTGAGCTTTGGCAGGGGCAGGGAATGAGAGCCGCGAGGCGGGCGCTGCGGACGGAGGCGCTGCCCGCCGAGCTCGCAGGCAGCCAGGCAGGCAGACGGCGAGAGCCCCGCGCTGGGCGGCCTCTCCTGGGAAGTTTCAAAGCTGTAGTTAACTTTTTTAGATTATTATAAAAAAAATTGAATGCTGGAGCACGATTTCTGTTCTCATCCTGAAGCAAAGTTCTTAACCCAAGGTAATATTTCTGGGTTAGTGGAGTCTGTAACCTGAAGCCTCAGTTACCCGAGGTACCACTGTCCCATGTAATGTAGTTTTGTGTTTTTGTGTTGTGAGCCTTGGATGTTAAACAGCCACCACCACCGCAGGCCCTTAAAAACAAGGTACTTTCATATTCATCTTTACTTGGAGGCAAGCCTCCCTCTTCCCAAGGGGGCCACTTCCCAATTCAGAGTGCTTGGCATCCTAAGGAGGGGAGCAGCGCTGGATTTGGGACGCTGCTGGCGGCAGAGGGGCGCAAATAACAACACTGAACAGATCCGTTGGAAAAAGCAGCTGTACCAAAATGAATTATTGCGAAAATGAGGGATATTTGAGGGAGGGGCCGTCAAATGTTGTCCTCGCCCAGGACGCCACTTGAAGGAAGCAGCGGGGGCGGACGCGGGTTGGAATCCTCTCAGCCCGGCCTCCCTCACAGGGTTGTTGTGGGGGGTAAATGGCGGGGAGCCCCCCCCCCACCGGAGCTCCTGGGAGGGAGAAAAAGGAATGCGAAAGCGCTAATAATAAAAGCCAATTTATATATGTGGAGAGAGGGAGGGAACCCTGAGGCCGCGTCAGGCCCACAAAGGCGGGAAGGGGCCCCTCAGCCGCGCAGGAGGCGCCTGTCCCGCAAGAGGCCGGCAAAGGTCACCTCTGACGCCCTTGCACCTCCCTTCCTCCCTCCATTGCGCGCGCAGCGGGGGGGGCGTCGCTCACCATCCTCCGTGGCTGCGCGTGGCGGCTGCAGGTCGGCAGGCCCCTCTGGCGCACGTGGACGGCGGCGCCCCTGGCGCAACTCAGGCGCTGGAGGGAGCGGAGCGAGCGGTACATGGCGGAGGCTGAGGAGCGAGGCGCCGCGGGCGGGCGAGGGGGAGGAGGACAGAGTGGGCGGAGTCGCAGCCAATGGGGTGGAAGAAACCCACGTTTCCTTTTTGAAAGAGAAACTTTTAAACGAGCGCGTGGTTGAAGAAGGCGCTTGCCCAGCTCCCCTCTGCGCCTCGGAGGGCGGGTTTGAGCACGCGCAATGCGCCGCCCTCCCGCCCTGCGCCGCCGCCGTTTCGCGCTCCTCCCTTTTGTGCGCGCTGCCCCGCCGCCGCCCCATTGGCCGGGTCCTGTCAGCTGATCCTGTGTTATTTCCTGTGTGTGTGTGTGTGTGTGAGGGGAGAATGGAGAGAGAAACCTCGGCACCATCACCGCGGAGCCGCCCCCGGCTCGACGCGGATCCTCGCCGCCGCCGCCCTGCCTCTCGCCGCCCGACTCGCCCGCCTCCCTCCCACGGCACACCAGGCAACGTCTCGCGGCACACTAGTGTGCCGCGGAACACCGGTTGGGAAACACTGGGCTAACCGACCTCACAGGGTGGTTGTTCTGTGGGTAGAATAAGGGGTGAGGAAAGAATTGAGCTCCTTGGATAAAAAGGTGGGGTGTAAATGCATTAAATGACGTTTAAAAAAAACAAACCAAAAAACAAGCGAGTGGAAACGTAAGTTGAGTCTGCAGCAAAAGTCCCGTGTTTAGATCCATCCATCCATCCATCCATCCATTTATCTATCTATCTATCTATCTATCTATCTATCTATCTATCTTCTTCGGAATCAGGTCTGCTTATCAAAATAAAGAGAGGGCCTGTGAGAAAGTACTTGAGCTAGGGGCTTGTTTTATTGTCTACTGAAAGAAGTGAGGGCGGGTGGCGCTGTGGGTTAAACCACAAAGCCTAGGACTTGACAATCAAAAGGTCAGCGGTTCGAATCCCCGCGACGGGGTGAGCTCCCATTATTCGGTCCCTGCTCCTGCCAACCTAGCAGTTCAAAAGCACGAAGTGCAAGTTGATAAATAGGTACCGCTCCAGCGGGAAGGTAAACGGCATTTCCGTGCGCTGCTCTGGTTCGCCATGCTGGCCACACGACCCGGAAGCTGTACTCGGCCAATAAAGCGAGATGAGTGCCACAACCCCAGAGTTGTTTGCGACTGGAACTTATGGTCAGGGATCCCTTTACCTTTACTTTTTTTATTAATAATAATAATAATTTTTAAAAAAATATTTATACCCCGCTCTCCCAGGCCAGAGCCGGGCTCAGGGCAGCTAACACCAATAAAATCACAGTAAAAACATAATAGGGGGGGAAACCCAATTTAAAATACAGGTTAAAATGTGATTTAATATGCAGCCCTATTTTAATAGTAGCCCATAGATCAAGACCGTAAGGGGAGGGAAACATACGGGTCAGACTGAGTCCAAACCAAAGACCAGGCGGAACAGCTCTGTCTTGCAGGTCCTGCGGAAAGATGTCAAGACCCGCAGGGCCCTGGTCTCTTGTGACAGAGCGTTCCACCAAGGGGCCAGTACTGAAAAGGCCCTAGCTGAGACCAATCTAACCACCTTGCGACTTGGGAAACCACCGTTGGTTAGAGCCTGATAATGCCAAGGCTGCAGGTTCGATCCCCATAAGGGGCAGCTACAAATTCCTGCATCGCAGGGGGTTGGACTAGAGGACCCTTAGAACCCCCTCCAACACTATGATTCTAAGAAGGAATAGGACCCTTTGGGTGATGTTTGCAGAGGAAGAAGTGTGCTCTTTCACAAGCCGCGCTATATCTGGCTTGAGCCTCTCAAGTTTAGTGGGTCTCCATTGAGTTAAGGTTTAATTGCATGGGGTCCTATCGGGTCTTCAGAAATGGGGAAGGGGAATAACCTCTCTCTCACCTTTTGTCCCCATTTGGAAGAATGATGCATTTTGAATTGTATTAGGCTGCCCTCTAGAGACTCTTCTAAGTATTGCAGCATCCGCAGAAACCTCTCCTTGAGACCACTTGCTACAAGTGGGGTGAAAGTTCTGCTAATTTACAACAGCAAGAATTTTATGATTTGTACCCCACCCATCAAACTGGGTTGCCCCAGGCACTCTGGGCGGCTTCCAGTATATGCAAAAACATAATAAAACGTCAAACATGAATAATAGCAATCTGAACCATATAAAAAGTCACAATAACTTTCAAATGAACAGCATATCAAATAAAGCAATATTCAATAATTCATTAGAATCTACTAATGAACAGTAAGATTATACATCATCATCATCATCATACTTATTTCCTTGATATCTGATGGGGCGGCATTCCACAGGGTTCCCTGTAGCTTCGTGTCTCACAGTGAGGGAAGCACCAGAAGGCCCTCAGAGCTGGATCTAAGTGTCTGGGCTGAACTTGAAGCTCCTAGTCTCAGGACCTTGAGAGACCTGGGTTCGAATCCCCACTCTGCAACTTGGGCTAGTCACACTCACAGGCATGCCATGAGGAGTGCTTGTACGTGTGGCAAGAACCATACCCACCATCTCAGTCTCCTTGAAGGAGATGTACATTTGGTAATAAATGAATAAAAATATTGGTGTCTCCCCTCCAAAGACCAGTCCGCATGTTTGGCCAGCCTTCCCAAACCTAGAGCCCCAGCCAACAGCCAGTGGTGATGGACATAGTTATAGTGCAACAACATCGGGGGGGTCACAGGCGCCCCATCCCTGCTCTCAGAAGGAGCATTCTGTACTGCAGTGGTTCTCCAAGTGGGCAGTACCACTGCCTAGCAGGTATAAATGGCTGTCGAAAAGCCAGCATCCCTGGATCAAGTTCATCGATTTTGTCGAAACTAAATAGTTTCAGTTGGATGTTGAATGAATGTGCACCCACTTGTTGCTGAATTTGATTGTGTCGTTTGCTTCAGTGGGCTGTGCAAACCGCTGTTCTGAACGATGCTTCTTCAGGGTAGGGGGGTGAGTTTCTTCAGGGTAGGGGGGTGAGTTTATGGGATCAGGGGGGAGAGTGCCCTGAAAAGTTTGGTTGCTGTGTACAAGAGGTAGAGGAATGCCTCCGTTTAGAAGAGCCATTCTCTCCTGAGAAAGGGGAATGCCTCTTCCTACTGCAGGACCGCAAAACCTTTGGCGCTCTGGGTGCTACTGGACTCCATCTCCCAGTAGCCAGCATGACTAGTGGTCAGGGATGATGAAGCGCAGCAGCCTCTCTGAAGGAAATACATTGGGGAAGGTGGGGTGTTAACTGAACAACAGCCAGCTGGAACTGTTTCACTGTGTTGTCTTAATTTACTGTTATTTGTTCTCTTCTCTTCTCTCTGCTTTTCTTTTTGTGTGTGGGGTGGCTCCTTCAGCGACGTCAAGCGAGAGAGGAGGGTCCCTTCGCCTGATGTAATAGTACTATCGGACAATGAGCCGTCGAGCCCAAGAATGAATGGATTGACGAAAATCCCGTTAAAGGAGACCAGCACAGAGGTGCTGATGGTAAGTCTTAACCCGTGCCTTATCGTAGCTGCCTCTCCTCACTCGGTGCATTCAGGCCAGGCAGCTGTGAGCTTTCTGTTTTCATAGCTTCCTCCTGTTCTGTCTTCCGCTGGGACTTTTCCTTGGGTGTGGCGCTGAAGCAAGCCATCCCTTTTTGTAATCTCTTCTGCCCCTCATCCACACACATTTTGCTAAAACTCTGATTCACCAGTCACCGCTTGCCTTGACTTCTGCAGCCTCTGGGGCTTTACCCTCAGGGGCAGCTGGAGCCCACTCAGGCTGGGTGCCAAAATTTATACAGACGTACCTTGGAAGTCAGGACGCGGGTGGCTCTGTGGGTTAAACCACAGAGCCTAGGACTTGCCGATCAGAAGGTCGGCGGTTTGAGCTCCCGTTGCTCGGTCCCTGCTCCTGCCAACCTAGCAGTTCAAAAGCACGTCAAAGTGCAAGTAGATAAATAGGTACCGCTCCGGCGGGAAGGTAAACGGCGTTTCTGTGCGCTGCTCTGGTTCGCCAGAAGCGGCTTAGTCATGCTGGCCACATGACCCGGAAGCTGTACACCGGCTCCCTCAGCCAATAAAGCGAGATGAGCGCCGCAACCCCAGAGTCGGCCACGACTGGACCTAATGGTCAGGGGTCCCTTTACCTTGGAAGTCAAACAGAATCCGTCTGGAAGTCCGTTAGACTTCCAAGGCGTGGTTTCCGATTGGCTGCGGGAAACTGCTCTGGACATTTGGTTTCCGGAAGTCATCAGAAAACCAGAAAAATCACTTCCTGTTTTTGATCGTTCGGGAACCGGAACGTTCAAGTTTACAGGCGTTTGGCTTCTGAAGTTCCACTACACACTGTTTTATTATTGAAAAATATTGGATTTGATTTGATATGTTAATTAGATGTTCTTATTGGAAAATTAATAAATGTTTTTTAAAAGGGGGGGGAATAATATCACTAAGAAAAATTAACAATAACATTAAGATATTTGAAAAGCTAAAATGCAGTAGACTGCAAGCAGATTAAAACTCACACCAGCTTTCTAAATATCTGACTAGGCTTGTCTAAACAAAAAATGTTTTTAGCTGGTGCTGAAAATGGATTGGTGAAGGTGCCTGCTTCATCTCATAGAATTGTACAGTAGGAAGGGATCCCAAGGGTCACCTAGTCCAACCCCCTGTGATTCAGGAGTCTTTTGCCCAACGTGGGGCTTGAACCCATGACCCTGAGATTAAGAGTCACATGCCACATGTGACAGTTCCAGTCTGCAGGTGCTGTCCCCAAACCACGCCTGCAGGCAAGCAAAACAAAAGGTCGTCACTGGGCATCTGTAATGGCAGGTGATTGACAGGTGAGCAGCCCCACCCACCTGTCAAAGGCGCCCATAGAGCAAGGAGGGGAGGAGGGAGGTCTGGATCCACTCTGCTGGCTGGGGCCCAGTCCTGCACCCCTTACCTCCCCATGGCTGTTGCCTCTCTTCCCTGCAGACCCCTCCCCAAAACGTCATCCCTTTCGGCTTTAAGACTCCTTCGGGTAGTGATAAAGCGGGATATCAAATCCAAACTCCTCTTCTTCTTCTTCTAACTGGAGAATTAAGCCCCCTTTCCCTCTTGCAGAAGAGCAGCCCCGAGGAGCGGGAGCAGATGATCAAGCAGCTGAAGGAGGAGCTGCGGTTAGAGGAGGCGAAACTCGTCCTGCTGAAGAAACTGCGGCAGAGTCAGATACAGAAGGAAACGACGGCCCAGAAGGTGAGAACGCTTTGCATGCTGCCGGCTACTCCGCGGTGGATCGCCAAGGCAGCTGTGCGCTGGGGGGGGGGGTGTCCCAAGAATTTCAGGAACCAAACAGTCACATTGACTTTTGAGCCATCAGGTCCCACACTGGCAACTTGGCATTCTGTTTTGGCGACTGTAACCCTGGTTGAAGGAGCCACTTGGTGCCTAGCTCTTATTTATGAGTTTCTAACACTGTAGGCCAGGTGTGAGCAGCCCATCAAGGGCTGCATTCCCTGTGAGAGACTCTCTTGGCCGCACGCTGCCACTGGGTGCAAAAGCCTTCTGGGTGAACTCACCTAGAATAAAGATTGCCCTGCTTCACCCTTGGGTGCCCCTGGTTTAAAATATTCCCAATCCCTTGCAAGCCTACTCAGAAGTAAGCTCCACAGAGTCTGATAAACAGTACATTCAAAGACTTATCCCAGTTCCACACGCCCCCAACAACAGGCAAATAGAGCTGTTGTTCTGGAAAGTGGCTTAAAGAACCGTATTTTTTTGCTCTATAAGACTCACTTTTCCCCTCCTAAAAGTAAGGGGGAAATGTGTGTGCATCTTATGGAGCGAATGCAGGCTGCGCAGCTATCCCAGAAGCCAGAACAGCGAGAGGGATCGGGGTTTCGCTGCGCAGCGATCCCTCTTGCTGTTCTGGCTTCTGAGATTCAGAATATTTTCTTTCTTGTTTTCCTCCTCCAAAAACTAGGTGCGTCTTACGGTCTGATGCGTCTTTTAGAGCGAAAAATACGGTAATTCTTTCAGTGGTGGGGTATGGGGATTAAGCCTGAGGACCACGCTCCCTTCTGGGGAGGGCCCTGCATGGCCATGGTGGGTGGGGCCAGGGGCAAAAGTGGGCGGAGCAACATTTCAGTAGGCTAATTTTTAAATGCAGTGGCACACCACCCCTCCCTCTGGAGCAAGCATGGGGGACCTGTGGCAATTCAGGGTCCACCAGCCTCAAGCTCTCAGCTTCCCTAAGAGCTGGCTGTGTGGGGGCTGCTTGAGACTTGAGCCTGACCACATCTGGAGAGGGGGGGACACAGGGTGCCCCATCCCAGGCTTGGAGCCGTCAACGGCTGTTGAGATGCCAAACAGAACTTCCCTGTTCAGCAGCAGTCTACCACTTTGCTTTCCGCTTTCAGGCATCCCAGCAAGACGTACAGTTGGTTGCTGGGTGTCAGCCTGGGTGTGCTCTATAGAAAACACTGTAGGGACTGAGAAGCCTCCCCCCCCTCTGCCCACCCCCCTCCCTGGACTTGCTACCCTCGAGATGTTGGGCAGCGGCTCCTAGTGGCCCCCAGCAGTCAGGGAAGATGGGAACACGGAAGAAGGGGAAATCCAGCTATGTTACTGCATTGTAATTTTAAATTTTATGTTGTAAACTTTTACGCTGTAGACTTTTATAGACTTGCGTTGTGTGGTTTTACAGGGAAGCCTTTCTGCTGTTCGTTGTGAAGGCCTTTGGCTATATATATATATATATATGGATGTAGATATATATACATACAATAAAAATTGATGGATTGTTTGAATGCACTGCCATTTAGGGTATACAAATCTGAGCTAGACAGACTATGGTCTGGTTCAAGACAAGGCGGTTTCTGTATCCCCAGGACACAGGAAGTGAGAGTGCTGGGTATGGGCAGGTGGGGAAGCCGACTACCGCAACATTCCCAAGGATTTTCAATTGTCTGTTCCCTAATTGATCTCTCTTTGATCTCTCTCTCCCCCCCCCCACCCCCTGCAACGTGCCCCTTTTGGCTGGTGGTCCTTGTAGCCCACCGGCTCCTCAGGAAATGCCGCGGCGACTCCCCCACCCTTGGTGCGAGGGACGCAGAGCATCGCCTCCAGCAAGTCAGCCCTCCTCCAGGTCAGTACACGCAAGGGAGCCGCCTGCACACAGCAGAACTGGAAGCAAAGCTGTGTGTGCATTTTGCGGGGGGAGTGAGGAGGTTAAGGAGGGGAATGCAGTTTGTTGGCCCGAATGCTCTGCCAGAGCCATCCCAGCAGATGAGACCTCTTGCAAGTTGGTTCAGACCAGCAAATATGCAGCCTTGCTTGAATCATAGGCAGGTCAGTTTCTGTTCTCTTTATTGGGGGGACTGGGAAGCAGATCTTGCTCACACTAACAGAACAGTGCAAGTTTGCAGGTCTGACAGATATCCAAAGCTGTTCAACAGCAAGGGAACCAAAATCTACACTGGTGCTCCCCAGATATATATTTTTTCCTGAATTACAAAGCCGCCACATTTCACTCCTTCCCTCTTCTTTTTAAGCACCCAGCGGTTAAGAATTAGACACCATCTCTCTGCATTGAGATTGACTGAGTCTCCTCAAATGTAGCCCAGTGCAGGAAGTCTCCTGCAGCAGCTGAAGGAGGCTGAGGCCAGGGGAGTTGCTTATTCAGAAACACAACAGGAAGAAGGCTCTGCTGGGTTCAGTCCAGTGTAAAGACACCCCAGAGGCTGACTCTTGGGACCTTAAGTCTCCCCCAGCCACTCACCCCCCGACGGGCAACAGGCAGCCTACTTGGAGGTTCTGGGGCAAGGAAGACATCACCCCCCACCCCCAAGCGAATCTATTTATTGGTTGCATTTATATCCCCCCTTTTTCTCCATGGAACTCAAGGTGGATTACATGATTCTCCCTCTCTTTGTTTAATTCCCTGACAACAACCCTGTGATTGTGCCTTCTCAGCGACCATGGGATGAGGGCCAGTGTGGTGTGGTTAGAGCAGGGTTTCCCAAACTTGGGTCTCCAGCTGTTTTTGGACTCCTGGTCCTGCTAGCTAGGGATGATGTAGTCCAACAACAGCTGGAGACTCAAGTTTGGGAAACCCTGGTCTTCCCCAGATCCTAGCCCGACTCTAACCACTACGCCACACTGGCCCTAACGCTGTTCTTTAGTTCGTTTTGGAAATCACTGGTCTGTTTTCACGACCTCCTGAAGAATATAGCAAAGATTCTGGCAACAAATGATGCATCAGTGGGTGGGGTGCTTAAAGAACGGACTTCCTCCTTCACTTCCCTTGTCTCCTCTTCTCATGCCATACAGAATTCCTCGCGTATTCCCGGGACTGTTATTCCTCCCCCGTTGATCCGCGGAGGGCAGCAGGCATCTTCGAAGCTGGGCTCTCAGCAGAACACGCAGATAGTCATGCCTCCTCTGGTGAGAGGAGCACAGGTGAGCTGCTTTTCCCCACCTTGTGCTTTCCGTTTTCTTTCCGCCCCCACAGCCTCAGCTTGAAGGGCTCAGTCGGGGCTGCAGCTGAGGGGCAGAGCATGCACCCTGCAGGCAGAAGGTCCTGGGTTCAGTCTACGGCAGCTTCTCCAAGCAGGGACCCCTTTCTGAAACCCTGGGGGAGACACCGTCCGTCAAGGTAGAGGAGAGCTTTCCAAACTTTGTGTCGCAACACCTTAGTGTGTCGGCTGCAGGGTGTAGGTGTGTTGCACAAACACTCCCTACACTCCTCCTGGGGCTGCAAAAGGCGTTAGTTTAACCTCCAGTTTACTAGTGAAACTGAATGGCTGTGTCGCGAAATGATGCATGTCTAAAAAGCGTGTCACCAACATGAAGGGTTTGGAAAGCTCTGGTGTAGAGAGTGTTGAGTTAGATGGAGCACAGTGCTGATCATGCCAGGGTTGCAGGTTCGATCCCTGTATGGAACAGCTTGCATATTTCTGCTTTGTGGGGGGTTGAATTAGACTAGGTGGTCCTCAGCATCCCTTCCAACTCTGCAGGTCTGTGATTCTGTAGTGGCTCCTGCTTTAAATGACGCTTCAATCAGACATCGGGATGCATCAGCTGTTAGCCCTGCTCAGAGTACACCCATTGAAATTCCTGCATTACAGGGAGTTGGACTAGATGACCCTTGTGGGTCTCTTCCAGCTCTATGATTTTATGAAATCAAAGGACATGGATAACTCCATGCTCTTAAATCTTGGTGGAATTCAGTTGGGTGTTTCATCATGACTTGGGAGTTTGGCAGATGGGAAAAGGCTTAAATGTCGGCTTCCAACCTTGTGGTGTGGCCCAAGCGTCCCCTGGAGAACCAGTGGTGAGAGGGTCACTTCAGGACCCAGGAGAGACCAGGTTGCAAATCCCACTCGGCCATGAAGCTCCCTGGGCGCTCCCTGGCAGGGGGTGGGGAGGCAGACACTAGCCTAGCTCAACCTAACCAACCTATAGAATCATAGAATGGTAGAGTTGGAAGAGACCCCTGAAGGACATCTAGTCCAACCCCCTGCAATGCAGGAATCTCTGCTTAAGTATCCATGGCAGAGGGCCACCCACCCTCTGCTTGGAAACCTCCAAGGAAGGAGAGTCCACAACCTCCATAGGGAGTCTGCTCCGCTGTGGGAACAACTCTCACCGTCAGAAAGTTCCTCCTGAAATTTAGTTGGAATCTCCTTTCTTGTAACTTGAAGCCATGGGTTTGAGTCCTACCCTCCAGAGCAGGATAAAACAGGTTTGTTCCTTCTTCCATGTGACAGATCTTCAGATATTTGAAGATGGCTATCCTATCTCCTCTCAAGTCAACCTGACACGGTTGTTGTTCTGAACTATGTATGCCACCTTGAGCTCCCTGAGGAAAAGCTGGGATATAAGTGGAGGATCAGTTTTTCTGCCATTTCTTGTCTTCAAAGGGAAAAAGAAGTTAATATTCTTGCTCTCTTATTCCCCCTCCTTTCTGCATCTCCCCCATTGCGCCATCTTCCTCTCTGCCTTCTTCCCCCTTGGCTGTCATCCTCCGCTCCCCCTCTTCTAAATATTCTCTTCCATCCCCCCTCGGATCCCATCTATATCAGCCCATCTCTGTGTCTCCCCAGCAAATCCACAACATCCGCCAGCACTCCAGCTCGGGGCCCCCTCCCCTGCTCCTGGCCCCGCGGGCCTCCGTCCCCAGCGTGCAGATCCAGGGCCAGCGCATCATTCAGCAGGGCCTCATCCGCGTCGCCAACGTCCCCAACGCAAGCCTCCTGGTCAACATCCCGCAGGTGAGGAGCTGCAAGAGCGGGGGGGGGGCAGACGCCACCCCAGAGGCAGCAGCCAGGTGGTACTGGCTGGGGTCCCATTTATATGTTATATAACTCGTGTTTAGACACAGCTGCAGTGGTTGCCAGCTCAGTTCCGTGTCCAGTTTGTTTTTATATATGGGTGGCGCTGTGGGTAAAAGCCTCAGCGCCTAGGGCTTGCTGATCGAAAGGTCGGCGGTTCGAATCCCCGCGGCAGGGTGCGCTCCCGTTGCTCGGTCCCAGCGCCTGCCAACCTAGCAGTTCGAAAGCACCCCTGGGTGCAAGTAGATAAATAGGGACCGCTTACTAGCGGGAAGGTAAACGGTGTTTCCGTGTGCGGCTCTGGCTCGCCAGAGCAGCGATGTCACGCTGGCCACGTGACCCGGAAGTGTCTTCGGACAGCGCTGGCCCCCGGCCTCTTGAGTGAGATGGGCGCACAACCCCAGAGTCTGGCAAGACTGGCCCGTATGGGCAGGGGTACCTTTACCTTTACTTTATATATCTTTATTAATTTAAAATAAATACATTTATGAAAAACAGACGTACATACAAGTAAACAAACATACAATCAAACAAACAAGTAACAGAAAAATCAAATAAACCACCACACTATAAGATATAAGAAGATTGATATAATTATCATCATATATACTCCTGGTATTGAACACAATTATAAAATTTATAGAAAAGAAATATAAAACTGACTTCCAATTTATCTCACTGTACTTTGTCTATCCATTACTGTTACATATTTCTTATATAATTTCTTTTTACCTCCCTACAAACTTACATTTATACAATACAGGGATCAGTCTAATTCTGCCAAGATGTTTCCTTTATTCCATAGTTTTCTAAATATTCTTTAAAGATTCTCCAATCCTTAAAGGCTTTTTGTTTTGGTTGGCCTCTTACTCTTCCTGTCGCTTTCGCTAGCTGCAGATATTCTACCATTAGGATTTGCCAATCTTCCGTGTTGGGTATTGTTGTGTTTTTCCAATTTCTTGCTACTAAAATTCTGGCCACCTTCCGTGTCCAGTTTGAAGTTGCACATGTTTTTAGAATGTTGGATTATTTGATTGTTTGATTATTTGATGTTAGCCGCCCTGAGCCCGGCTTCGGCTGGGGAGGGCGGGATATAAATAACATTATTATTATTATTATTATTATTATTATTATTATTATTATTATTATTTTGGTGTTCAAAGCCCTGAAAACTCAGCCCCCCAAAGTCTGAAAGGCAGCCTCCTTCTCTGCAGACCCTCTTGGGTGCTGAGATCAGCAGAGTGGCGATTTCTCTGACTTCAGATGCTTTGGGGGGGGGGACGTTGGGGAAAGAGAGGGTCTTCTGTGCAGCAGATCCTAAGCCTTCAAAATCTCCCCAGAGATTTTGGCACCTTCGCTAAACAGATTTTGACAAATGCTGAAGACCCGTTGTTGTTTATTTAAATTTGTATGCCGCCCTATACCCGCAGGTCTCAGGGCAGTTCACGAGATAAAACCACAATATAAAAAACACAAAATGCATAATAAAAACAAAAACAGGAACAACCCAGTAATCCCCCTCCCCTCCCCGAACACATTTTAAAGGGGCATTGGATGTCAAAGTGTTTGCCTGGTGTCTAAAGTTGTATAATGAAGGCCCCAGGCAAACCTCCCTGGGGGGAGAGCATTCCACAGACAGGGAGCCACTGCAGAAAAGGCCCCGTTCTCATGTTGCCACCCTCTGGACCTCTTGAGGAGGAGACACATGAAGAAGGGCCTCAGAAGGTGATCTCAGTGTCCGAGTAGGTTCATATGGAAAGAGGCGGTCCTTGAGGTATTGCGGTCCTGAGTCGTTTAAGGCTTTATAGGTCAAAACCAGCACTTTGAATTGGGCCGGGAAACTAATTGGTAGTGAGTGCAGTCAGACCAGGATGATGATAATAATAATAATTATTATTATTATTATTTATACCCCACCCATCTGGCTGGGTTTCCGCAGCCACTCTGGGCAGCTCACCACAGAATTAATGATAATGACAAAAAAGCAATAAAACATCAGACATTAAAAACTTCCCTAAAGAGGGCTGCCTTCAGATATCTTCTAAAAGTCAGATAGTTGTTTATCTCCTTGAAATCTGATGAGAGGGCATTCCACAGGACAGGCACCACCACCGAGAAGGCCCTCTGCCTGATTCCCTGTAACCTCACTGATGGCAGGGAGGTGGACCTCAGGCTGAACGATGGGAGTGGAGACACTCCTTCAATATGCTCAAACCGTCTTGCCCTGATGATCAACCTGGCTACTGAATTCCGAGGGGTATATTTTCATAACCTGCCTTATTTTTGTGACTGCAAAGGCTGTTTTAAAGTCTTAAACCAGGCCTTTGACCATTAAACAATCTATGACCTTTTAAAAGTATGGAAGGGAGTCTGTTATTACCGGGTTTTTTCTGTGATTTTTTAACTAACGTATTTCTCGCCCTATAGGGCGCACTGGCCCATAGGACGCACCTCGTTTTGGGGGGGGGGATGAATAAAAAAAATTATTCCCCCCCCCAGCTGCGGGGCTGGGGCGGGGGAAGCCCGAGCTTCCCCAGCCCCCAGAACAGGCTGCTATCCGCAAGCTCCCCTGGGCGCGCAAGGCTTGCAGATAGCTTCCTGAAGCCTGGAGAGCGAGAGGGGTTTGTGCACACCGACCCCTCTCGCTCTCCAGGCTTCAGCGAAAGCCTGCATTCACCCCATAGGATGCACACACATTTCCCCTTCATTTTTGGAGGGGGAAAGGTGTGTCCTATAGGGCGAAAAATGCGGTACTACTATGCTATATAACGTTGTACACCACCATAGGATCTTTGGATAAAGTGCAGTATATAAATGGAATAAATAGAAAATGTAAAAGTGTTTTTGATATTATAACCTGCCGTAGGACCTTAGGGTGAATGGTAGGCAATAAATGAGGGTGGTTATTGTGATAATATATCATTATTTCATAAAATTTATACTCAGCTTCATTGTTTTTTTAAAAAAATGAATAAAACAAGAAAACTATTTGAATCAATCAATAAGATTATTATTTTAGCCCAGGCTTTCCCCAACTTGGGTCTCCAGCTGTTTTTGGCCTACAATTCCCATCATCCCTGATCACGGGTCCTGCTAGCTAGGGATGATGGGAGTTGTAGTCCAAAAACAGCTGGAGACCCAAGTTGGGGAAGCACTGGAATCTAGCCAAAGGCCATGACAAGTTTGTAGCCGTAATATTAACAAGATAATGCAGAACATACACCTGCAATATAAACTGACATCCGTGGTGTGGGCAAAAGGAGACACCGGAAAATGAGCTTAATTTCAAATTAAACCTCCCAATCACCAAAGCAGCTTATAGCAGTTTTATCTAACTCATTGTTCCCAATCCTTTTTGCAGCCAGTGATCAAATTACTGGTCGCAACTGTCAAAACTTTTAAAAACAAGCAAGCAAGCAATGAGCTCTTATTTCAGTGTGACGACACCAGGGCGGTGCAGTCTGCATGAATCATAAGAGTCCCAGAACCATAGGGGTTGGAAAGGGACCCAAGGGTCATCTAGTCCAACCCCCTGCCATGCAGGAATCTCAGCTCAACACAACCCCTTTTCTTTCCTCCCTCCTCCCTCAGGCCTCGCCAACTTCGCTCAAAGGTGCAGCCGTGACGGCGGCCCAGGTGAACGCTGCAGCCACTGCCACCAGTGTAGCCTCCATCGTCAACTCCAATGACTCCCCTGCCAGCCGCCAAGCGGCCGCCAAGCTGGCGCTGCGGAAGCAGCTGGAGAAGACGCTGCTGGAGATCCCTCCGCCCAAGCCGCCGGCCCCCGAGATGAACTTCCTGCCCAGCGCGGCCAACAACGAGTTCATCTACCTGGTGGGACTGGAGGAGGTGGTGCAGAACCTTCTAGAAGCTCAAGGTAAGAAGAGGGATGTGCACACACATTCTCTCCTCCCTCAAAAATCCTTCTTTTCTCCTTTTTAAACTGGAATCCAAGGCTACCTTCACAGCAGGGTGATATCCCTTTAAGCAGCTGTGGTGTCCCCCAAGGGATTCTGGGAGCTGTAGTTTTGATGAGGGTGCTGAGATTTGCTGGGAGGACCCCGCCCCCATTCCCCTCCCAGAATTCCCTGCAAAGGTGGAAGGATTGCTAATCCACTTCATTTATTTAGTAAGAATAAGGGTAGGACCTGAACCAATGGATTCAGATGACTAGAAATGCCACAGCAGGCAGAACAGCCTGAGCCCAAAGAAACCCAGACATTTCCTTTAAAATGTAAAACATGCCCATCTGACATGTTGGGCCTCCAAAAAGAGGACGTGTCTGTCTGGGTTTTCCCAGACGTATGGTAACGCTACAAATGACAATAAAGGAGAGTCCAACTGAACATTAGGAAGAATTTTCTGAGGGCAAGAGCTGCTCAACAGTGGGACAGACTTTCTCAGAAGGTGGTGGACTCTCCTTCCTTGAGACTTGTAAGCAGAGATTGGATGGTTCTCTGTTAAGAACTTTGAGAACTTAAAGAAGAAAAGACACTTGATCCAGGGGCAGCCCACATATTTATTGGCCCATTCCATCCTGACTGCTCCTGCGCAATGAAAGCATTTTGGTTCCTGAAAGTCATTCTGATTGTACAGATAAAATATAATGGATAGAATTCTACAGGATGCGGTATTAGTGTGCGAAAACCGTCCCGGTCCAAGGATCCCCAGGCATGCACTTCCAGATGGTGGAGAGTCAGGTGCCATCTTAGCGCCTGGGCATCGCAAGCTGGCAAATTTCCAACAGGGCTTGGGTGTGCTTTCCAGCTCTGCAATTCTGTGACCTGCGTGCATCCCACGACTTTGGGCAATTGATGGGTTGGGGGCGGGGAAAGGCTGTCCTGTTTCGCTTCTTCTTCTTCTGGGCTGACTTGCTCCGTTTCTCCCTCTCCCTGCAGGCAAGGTTTCCGCTGCCCCTTCCTCTCAGGACCCCTACACATGCGTCCAGTGCAAGACGGACTTCACTTGCCGGTGGCGGGAGGAGAAGAGCGGCTCCATCATGTGCGAGACATGCATGTCCTCCAACCAGAAGAAGGCGCTGAAAGCCGAGCACACCAGCCGGCTGAAGGCTGCCTTTGTCAAGGCCCTCCAGCAGGAGCAGGAGATTGAGCAGCGGATCCTGCAGCAGGCGGCCTCCCCCGTCCAGACCAAACCCGAGCAGATCGCACAGCAGCATCACTCGCTCAAGCAGGTGGGGACACGGCACTTTCCCTCGCTTTTAGTTCATAAGAACCGAAGCATTGGAAGGGGCCCTGGGGGTCATCTAGCCCAACCCCCTGCAATGCGGGAACTGGCAGTTGTTCCTTGCAGGAACTGAACCTGCAACCTTGGCGTTATCAGCAGTATGCTGTATCCAACTTAGCTTTCCAGTTAGTTTGTTCTGCAGGGGAGAGCCATTTCCCCACCTGTGCCAGGTGACAGTGGTATAGAAATACAAGATCATTGGCCTACCTCACAGGGTTGTTGTGGAGGATGAGGCCTGGAGGAGGAGAGCCATGTACTTGGAGCTCTCCTTGGAGGAAAAGGTGGGATATATGGCTCCATGGTAGGGCTGGGCAATAGATTGGTAAAGGTAAAGGGACCCCTGACCATTAGGTCCAGTCGTGACTGACTCTGGGGTTGCGGCGCTCATCTCGCTTTATTGGCCGAGGGAGCTGGCGTGCAGCTTCCGGGTCATGTGGCCAGCAGGACTAAGCCGCTTCTGGCGAACCAGAGCAGCGCACAGAAACACCGTTTACCTTCCCGCTGGAGCGGTACCTATTTATCTACTTGCACTTTGACGTGCTTTTGAACTGCTAGGTTGGCAGGAGCAGGGACCGAGCAACAAGAGCTCACCCCATTGCGGGGATTCAAACCGCTGACCTTCTGATCGGCAAGCCCTAGGCTCTGTGGTTTAACCCACAGCGCCACCCGCGTCCCTTTTGGCAGATCCCTTTTGGTATATTGGTAGATCGTCCAAAACTGGTTTGAAGTCCATATGATAGTGGTTTCATAATTTGTGACTTGGCAATATATCACAAATCATGGGGTGTGTGCGCTATGCCAAAATCACAATATGGGAAAAACCATGAAGCCAGCCAATGCCACTACCTAGCTCCACAATATTTCAGACATTGTGATGTATCATATATGTTTAGCTGGTAATATATCACGATGTTGCAAACCAGATATTGCCCAGCCCTACTCAGTGGTAGAACCACCTGCCTTGCAAGCAAAAGATCGCAGGTTCAATCTTTGGCGCTTCCAAACAGGGTTGAGAAGGACTTTCTGCCTGAAACCCAGGAGTGCTGCTACCAGTCAAGTACAGTAACCTCTAGTTACGAACTTAATTTGTTCCGGAGGTCCGTTCTTAACCTGAAACCTGAAACTAGAGGCGTGCTTTCACTAATGGGGCCTCTTGCTGCCGCTGCACCGCCGGCACACGATTTCCGTTCTCGTCCTGGGGCAAGGTTCTCAACTCGAGGTACCACTGTACAGACAGTACTGAGCTCGATGGAGCAGTGCTCTGACTCGGGAGGAGGCAGCTTCCTATGTTCCAAATGTAATAAAATAAATAATAATAAAATAAGTTTATACAATTTGCAATCAGATGAACAGGGGTGGGTCCTAAAATAGGGAGGGGTGGCTGGCTGTAATGACTGGCCAGCTAAACCAGGTGAGGGGAGTCCATGGGTCTCAAACCCACAGTTAGGGGCTTCTCCTGCATGCGAAGATCGGCTCCGGTGGATGGAGCGGATGAGACCAAGAGGGGGTCCAGTGGTCCAGAAGGCGGTCTCTGCACATGCTGTGGAGGGAAGTGAGGGGCAGATGGGGCTCGTCCACCTGGGAAGGGAGCCCATTAAATAGAAGGAAGATCCTCTGCTGCCTTGCGGGGTATCTTTGGGAGAAGAAAGGGCTTGGGAGTACACCATACACAATTCCAGAGTAGAGTCCCTAAATCAGTTGGATGGCGTCTTGTCCGCCTCCTTCTGGCAACTCCTGCAGCCCAGCTGGTGTCCACCATCTTGCTCTGATTTCCTTTGGACCCCCTCAGAGAGGTCAAGAGGGGGGTCTTGTCATCTGGGCAGCCCAGGACTTTCAGATACACTGCCCAGGCTTGCACCCCAGGGAGCTGCTGCTCACCAATGGTTTGGTTTCACCGCCAGAGATGCCCGCCATTGTCTCTCGAGACAATGCCAGCTACAATATAATCCACATGCGCACACCTCTCTTGGGTGCCAAGGACCAGGGGAAAGAGCTGTGTCTTCCAGCAGGCAGTGGAAGTGCTAAGTGCGCCTCTGTCATACGGACCGGCAGCTTGGTTCAGTGTCAGCAGCTTCCTCTCTGCCTGTTTAAAACAATGAGGGCTGGGATCTTAGCTTTGATTTTAAGGGAATGACCATGACTCCGCACTTGTAGAGGGTCCTAGGACTCGGGTAGGCGGAGTGTTGCCTGGAGCACCACCACTCAGGGCTGGACCACCTGTTATGCAAGCAGAAGGTCCCAGGTCCGATCCACAGTAGGGCGGAGACACACCTGAGTCTGACACCCTGGAGAGCTGCTGCCGGCCCGTGCAGGAAATACTCCACTAGCCAGCCGCCTGCATCTCCAGTATGAGGCCAACTTCCATCATCCTTACGGATCTAGAACAGTGTTTCCCAAACTTGGGTCTCTGGCTGGTTTTGGACTACAAATCCCATCATCCCTGAGCCACGAGGATGATGGGGGTTGTAGTCCAAAAACAGCCAGAGACCCGAGTTTGGGAAACACCGAATGCTTCCCAGAGTTCTCACATGGGCAGCGAGCGGGACTTTTGCTCCGGCCTCTCTCTCACCTTCCTCCTCTCTTCCCGTTTCCCCTCGCCCAGGCCTCCAGCCAGCTTCCCCGCAGCGCCAGCACCCCCCGCGGAGTGTTGCATGCATTTAGCCCGTCGCCCAAGTTGCAGAACGCCGCCTCCAGTGTGGCCGTGCTTGGCGGCAGGCAAGGTAAGCGTGCTCAGAGACCCGCCGGCAAAGGAAGTGCTTGCACTTGGAAGAAGACTCTCGTCAACGCAGGTAGACCACTCGCTCTCGGGAACACTCTTAAAAACAAATATTTGCCCTCGCTGGCCGAGCTCCCTTGCCCAGCCAGCAGAGGGGGCAAGGCTGGCTCTTCTTTTCTCTTCTCCTGGGTGAAAAGGGTGCTTCTCTATTCCTTTAATTAGAATTATTAGTTCTCCCTCCGTCTTCCCCTCTCTCTCCTCTTTGGTGCCTTTTGCAAAGCATTCTGGGACTCCAAACCGCCTTGCAGAATTTCCCTCCTGGGACGCTTTCTCTTTTGGTGGCTTCTCGGGGCCCTGCTTTTAAAACTTTGATTTATGATTGTTTGTGTTTTTTGTAGAGTTGGGAGGGGGCCCAAAGGGTCACGCAGCCCAAACCCCCTGCAGTGCAGGAATGCAATTTTTAATTGATTGGTTCACATTTGCATATGGATGAAAAGAATCTCATTGTCTTTTGGGAGGCTTGTGGTGGGGGGAGAGGCTGTAGCTCAGCGGCAAAGGGATAATACAACAATTCATAATTATTATTATTATTATTATTATTATTTATTTATGCCCCACCCATCTGGCTGGGCTTCCCCAGCCACTCTGGGCAGCTTCCAACAAAATATTAAAATACAGTAATGCATCAAACATTAAAAACGTCCCTAAACAGGGCTGCCTTCAGATGTTTTTTAAAAGTCAGGTAGTTGTTTATCTCTTTGACATCGGATGGGAGGGCGTTCTACATGGTGGGTGCCACCACCGAGAAGGCCCTCTGCCTGGTTCCCTGTAACCTCACTTCTCGCAGTGAGGGAACTGCCAGAAGGCCCTTGGCGCTGGACCTCAGTGTCCAGGCAGAAAGATGGGGGTGGAGACGCTCCTTCATGTTAGTGGTTTCTTTAAAAACCACAGACTCAAAAGCTTTGTGCTTTTTCACATTGCCAGCATAAATGAACACATGATTCAGTAACTGTTCCTTTTGATACCTTGCATTCTGCCCCCCCCCATTTTTTTTATAAAATAGTAGAATTGTAGAGCTGAAAAGGACCCCGGGGGTCATCTTGTCCAACCCCTGCAATGCAGGAATCTTTCTCGAGGTGGGGCTCAAACCTCCGACCCTGAGGTTAAGAGTCTCTAATAGTCTCGTGCTCTACCGACTGAGCTTTGCCTCCAAAACCATCCACACACTCCGGCAGAGTTTGCCATTAGCGGGAACGATTGTCAGTTACCACGTACCCTGTATGTGCAGATGTGTGCTGTGCCACACACACACACCCTGACCCCCTCTTTCCTTTCTTTCTTCCCTCCCTCCAGGTGGGACGCTGAACTTTGTCAACCCCAGTCTCGCTGTGCATAAAACTGCCGCTTCGGCTGTGGACCGCCAGCGTGAGTACCTCCTAGACATGATCCCCCCGCGATCCATCTCTCAGTCTGCCACGTGGAAATAACGCAGGAACCTCCGCCTAGAGTGGAAGACTTCTCCCTTTTTCTTCTCGTCCCCCCCCCCCCCGTTTCCCCCACCCTCCCCAACCCAACCTTTGATTCCGCCACCTGCCCAGCATCCCACCACCCGGTGGGGAAAACGACGACAACAACAGCAAGCCTGCTTTCAAGCCTCGCCCGGATCACGCCTGCAAAGGTCGCAGGAGGGAAACGCTTGCTCCCGCCAGTGCCTCTCTCAGCAAGGAATGGGGGCGGCAGAGAGGGGCAACGACACTTCCCTGCAGGGTGGAACGGACACTCGGGGAGGTTGCAACGGACATTAGGCAACCGGACTTTCGCATTTTCATTATTATCATTTTTCTTCTGCTGTCTTCGAGAGGAGAGTCGCCTTTATCATTCTTTCCTGCTGGCCACACACACCCTGAAACTTATTTTGTTTCTCTTATTAGCATTTTTTTTGGAGGGGGGGGAGTTACATGTCATTCTTTCCCCCCAGCCAGCAGTAGTACAGAACGAGGATTAATTCGCAAGAAACTCGCTCTCGCTCTCTGTCTTTCTCGCCTGCTTTCGTCCCACCCTCCCTTTAAAGAAAAAAAAGGCCGCTTTTTTTTTTAGTTCCTTTTTAGATTTTATCGTTGTCGTTATTATTATTATTATTATTATTTCCGTTTCTGAGCGATCGTACAACGGTCGTTAGCGATCAAGGATGTACTATTTCCCGCTTACGGAAAGTGGAACTGGGACCCAGCGCTTGTGGAGAGAGAAATCCGCAAAGGGGACGGACTGGCTCCAGCCCTGCCTTTTTCGTTTTTGCTCCCCCCCCCCCCCCCCCGCAATTCCCGTGGTGGCAACGTGATAAACGGAGGGGGCAGCCAGGGGGTTGTTGCGGTGGAGGGAGCCTGAGTGGCTTCTTAGGGCTGTTGGTTTTATTTTTTGATTAAAAAAAGACAAACCCGCTGATAACTTATGTTGTGAACAAATGCAAAACGGACTCTCCGCCCCCCTCCCCCCGGAGATGTGGAGCGACAGGACTCAGCGGGGAGGGGGGGGTTGCGTCAAGGGGGGGGTCGGAGGCGCACCTGTCTTGTCTTTCTTTGAAATAAACAGGATCCTGTCTCAGATAGATGTTTTGCCCCGGACATTTGATAGCCCGAAAACTTTACCGGACAGTTTAAAAGGAGTTCCCTTCATCTGGAGAGAATGAACTGTGGGGAGGGGGGCTGAGCCTCTCTTCCCCCTTCCCCACCCCAAACATCCCAACAGGGATCAAGGAAGAAGAGATGTATAATTTTTTTGAATTTTTATTTTAAAATCTCTACTGGGTCCCTCCCACCCCCTCTCCTCCTTCCGCCGTGCGCTTTCCGTGGCCGGGGGGAGTTGTACTTTGGATCTCCAGGAGCCATATGCAGTTTTAGGCAACCTGGAGTAAAGAAAAGGTCCGGTGGATTTTGGAAAAGGAAATTTTGTGGGGAGGCTGTTTTTTTTTTAAGAAAAGGGGGTGGGAGAGAACATTGATTCAGCTGTGCCACTAGATAGAGCCTCCCTCAGCCGCCGTTTGCTACCAGTTTTTTTGGGGGGGGGGTGCAAAACGGCCTTCGTACTCTTTGAAGAGTTTTCCGCAGGGCTGGTCGCTGTCCTCAAAGCACAACCCAGACCCTGCTCACAGGGCCCCAGACTTCATTCTCCTCCTCCCAACAAGCAAATTCTCTCCCCCCTGCCCCCCCAAATGTTTAATTTCTAGTAGCACCTTGGGTAACCTTTATTTTTGCTTTAAATTGCGTTCCCCACCCCTAACCCCACACAAAAAACCAGAATACTCCAAGCTTTAAATCAAAGGAGCACCTACAGTTTGTTCCCTCTTTTGTGTTTTTAAGGTTGTTTAAAAAAAAACTTTTATTTTCTAGAGGTGGAATTACAGCCCCCAGTTTTTAAAATGACTTATTCCTAACAACATGTTGGTACTAGATCTAGTGCTGATAGGAGAGGGGTTCGTTGCAAAATGAAAAATAAAAATTATATAAATATATAAATATATATATCTATATATAAAGAGGAAGGGGTGGGGAAGGGTTAATGCAGTTGAACCTCTCTCTCTTTTTTTCAGGCAGGGGGGGCAGTGGGGGAGCCAGTCTGGTATTTTGTTAGCAGCAAGTTAGATACTTAATTTAAAATAAATTTTTAAAAATACAAAAAAAATAATTACAAAACAACCATTGCTGTACAGGGGTGGGGGGGGAATGAGGAGGGGGGGTCCCCTCTTCAGATTATGACTGTTGCATTGTAATAAAAAGCTCCTTATAATTCCTCTTTCTTTCTTTCTTTCTTCTTCCCCTCCCCACAAGTGTGGATATTTGGGTTTTAACTATTCTACATGGACCTGTCTATACAGTATGTGATAATATTCCACCTCCCCCCCCCCCATGGAGCTCAAGGGAGCGAGTCCTCCCCATCTTCATCTTCATAAGAACCCTGCGAGGTCGGCCAGGGCTGAGGGTGATCGCTTCTGACGCAAGGTCACCCCTAGCAAGCTTGGTGGCTGAACCGGAGGATTCAAATCCTGGCATCTCTCTCTGGTCCTAGCTCAACACCTAACTGGCACTGTTGTCTAAAGCAGTGTTTCCCAACCTTGGGCCTCCAGCTGTTTTTGGACTACAACTCCCATCATCCCTAGCTAGCAAGACCAGTGGTCAGGGATGATGGGAATTGTAGTTCAAAAACAGCTGGTGGCCCAAGGTTGGGAAACACTGGTCTAAAGCAGTGTTTTTCAACCTTTTTTGGGCAAAGGCACACTTGTTTCGTGAAAAAAAATCACGAGGCACACCACCATTAGAAAATGTTAAAAAATTTAACTCTGTGCCTATATTGACTATATATAAAGTAATTCTCTTGAATAGGAATCAAATAGACACAAAGAAAGTATTTTATAATTACTTTATTATGAAATAGTAAGTAAACAGAAATGTGAAAAATTATGAAATACTTTATTTTTAAATCTTTCGAATTTTTCAATTTTTCCCACGGCACACCAGGCAACATCTCGCGGGACACTAGTGTGCCGCGGAACAGTGGTTGAAAAACACTGGTCTAAAGGGTCCAGCGATGTCATACATGCAACAGACCACCTGAAACCATTCGGTTGTGTCTGACCTCAGCTGTCCTACATCCCTGGCATCTCTACATAGGGTTGCAAAGGATTCCGTGCCAAAAATCCCAGAGAGCCACTTTTTTTTATTATTCAGTATAAGGCCACATCCTCTGTTGATCTGGGCCCCAGGTAGCCAAGAACCAGATCCAGCGCTGGGAATTAGCCAGCCTGCTGCAACGCCAAGGTGGTCCGTCTGCGGCCGTCCAGATATCTCTGAACTCCCCATTCCCAAGTCTGGATAAACATCCTTTGGCATGCACTGATCCCCATGCCTTCCTCCTCAGCTACAGCAAAATCACTAGCACAGTTTATTGGGGGGGGGTGTTTGCAGACATGAAGAATGACACAGGGTGGGGTGGGGGGTGACATATATCTAGAAGGCACTTGGTGAAAATTGGGGGGGGTGTTTGAACATTGTTGCATCCTGGAAAAATGTCATCAGAGACTGGCGTTGCTCATGCCCGATCAATTTGCTCTTAAGGACTAGAACAGTGGTTCCCAAACGGGGGGGGGGGGGCACCTCCTCGGTTCTAATAATACAATGGTACCTCAGGTTAAGAACTTAATTCATTCCGGAGGCCCGTTCTTAACCTGAAACTGTTATTAACCTGAAGCACCACTTTAGCTAATGGGACCTCCCGCTGCTGCTGCGCCGCCGCTGAATGATTTCTGTTCTCATCCTGAAGCAAAGTTCTTAACCTGAAGCACTATTTCTGGGTTAGCGGAGTCTGTAACCTGAAGCGTATGTAACCTGAGGTACCACTGTAATAGTAGTAATAATAAATTTCTCATACCCCTCCCCAGCCCCAGCTTCCAACAAAATACAGCATCAACTATTAAAAGTTTCCCCGCCTTCAGGTGTCTTCTAAAAGTCAGAAATACTTGCTTATTTCCTTGACATCAGACAGGAGGGCGTTCCACAGGGAGGGCGCCACCACCGAGAAGGCCCTCTGCCTGGTTCCCTGTAACCTCACTTCTTGCAGGGAGGGAACCGCCAGAAGGCCCTCGGAGCTGGACCTCAGTGTCCAGCAGAACGATGGGGGTGGAGACGCTCCTTCAGGTATACAGGGCCTAAAAGACAGGATTACCTAGCAGGGTCGGTTGATTTCCACCCAGCCAATTAACCTATTTTTCAACTGCAGATTGTCTCACCCAGGGCAGACCCATAGAAATTAAAAGGACGTGGCTTATTTTTACCTATTCATTTCAGCGGGTTTACTAGTCTAGAACCTTGCTAGTTCCAGTTCAGCTCAACAGAATTGTAGCGTAGGAAGGGGCCTCTGAGGGTCATCCAGCCCAACCCTCTGCAATGTAGGGGCCACAGCTAAAGAATCCCTGGCATATGGCAAGCCAAGCTCTGTTTAGAAAACCTCCAAGGAGAGAGGGTGTTCCCAGTATTTCTGAACATGCACAGAGTGCATTTAAAATCTTAAGAACCGGCAATAAGTAAGAACATCCTTACACTGTTTATTCTGTTGGATTAGAGGGCTTCTCCCAACTCTAACAGGACTTCTAACTAAGCAGGGCAAGGACTTGCCTTGTATAGTTTTAGAAGTTATTTAAAAATAATCGGGAGCAAATGAACACACACACCCCCCAAAAAAGCACCCAGTACCTTAGCCCAGTTTCATTTCATCTGCCCTTTGTCCCCCTCTCTGGTAACATCGGAAATTTTGATGATCTGACTGGCTGCTTCTAATTTCTGTCTCCACATTCGCTGTTTTGAGGAGTCATTTAAACCCTGTGAAGTAGGCTATTTATTAATTATCTATTAATAATTACTATTATTGTTTACATTTATATACTGCCTTTATTTTCCAAGGAGCTCAAGGTCATGTGTTTGGTTCTACTCTTACCTATTTCATCCTCACAACAATTCCTGGGACGTAGGCAAAGCCCCACCAGTGAACTTCACGGCTGCTAAGGGGGATTTGGACCCTAGTCCCTAACCACTGGGACGCGGGTGGCGCTGTGGGTAAAACCTCAGCGCCTAGGACTTGCCGATCGAAAGGTCGGCGGTTCGAATCCCGCGATGGGGTGAGCTCCCGTTGCTCGGTCCCAGCGCCTGCCAACCTAGCAGTTCGAAAGCACCCCGGGTGCAAGTAGATAAATAGGGACCGCTTACCAGCGGGAAGGTAAACGGCGTTTCCGTGTGCGGCTCTGGCTCACCAGATGCAGCTTTGTCACGCTGGCCACGTGACCCGGAAGTGTCTGCGGACAGCGCTGGCCCCCGGCCTCTTGAGTGAGATGGGCGCACAAACCCCAGAGTCTGTCAAGACTGGCCCGTACGGGCAAGGGTACCTTTACTTTTACCCTAACCACTACACCACACTGCCTCACATTGTTGGACTCCAACTCCCATCATCCCTGAATCCCTGGCCATGCTGCCTCAGGCTGACGGGAGCATCAAGGTTTTAAAAAAACCAAAATTGTATATATGTGTGCCTGCAAAACAAACGGAAGGGCATAATAAAGGAATACTGTTACAGCAGGTTGAAGGCAGCATAAAGTTAGACGTTATTTCATTTTCATTTCACTTTTAATTTGTATCCCGCCTTTCTATATTTCTATAGAAAGGTGAATAACGAGCTGAAGAAACAACAAAATAGACAGCAAATATAAGACACTTAATAGACAATCTGACCCAATACAAAAAAGTGACGATTAAAAGAAAAATTTTAAATAAACAATTTGTATCAACTAAAGCAGTATTCAGTAATTCATTAGAATGTAATAAACAGCGAAATATCAAATAAAGGGACACGGGTGGCGCTGTGGGTTAAACCACAGAGCCTAGGGCTTGCCGATCAGAAGGTCGGCGGTTCGAATCCCCGCGACAGGGTGAGCTCCCGTCGCTCGGTCCCAGCTCCTGCCCACCTAGCAGTTCGAAAGCACGTCAAAGTGCAAGTAGAAAAATAGGTACCGCTCTGGTGGGAAGGTAAACAGTGTTTCCGTGCGCTGCTCTGGTTTGCGAGAAGCGGCTTAGTCCTGCTGGCCACATGACCCGGAAGCTGTACGCCGGCTCCCTTGGTCAGTAAGGCGAGATGAGCGCCGCAACCCCAGAGTCGGCCACGACTGGACCTAATGGTCAGGGGTCACTTTACCTTTATCAGCAAATAATCATTAAATGTTGTTGTTTAGTTGTCTTACTCATGTTCAACTCTCCGTGACCCCATGAACCAGAGCATTAAATAGTTTTTTAAAATTACTAAACTAATCAATAAAATAACTGCAAATCACAATGCATGAAATACCACAAAACATACAAAACCATGGAAAAGGATCAGATTGAGAAACAAGGACACACAACTTAATTCAGGGATATTAATTTTTTTAAAAAAAATTATCATTGAACTTGTTCCAAAACATTACCAAACGTACAATTTTTCTCCCTGAACCTGTTAAGACTTTTTTTGCACATGGGCAAATTTATCCTTTTCTCCTGGAAAGCAAGCTGGGCCTGGATGGCGTGGCTGGTAGAGGGAGACCGCTGCTCACCTGCTGGGCATGCAGAAGCTCCCTGGCTCAATCCCCGCTGATGGTCTCCTTGCGTAGAGAATCACAGAATGGGAGAGTTGGAAGGGACCCCACGGGTCATCTAGTCCGACCCCCTGCGATGCAGAAATCAGCTGAGGGCGGGGGGAAAGCCCTTTCTCTGCTTGATGCGCTAAATAAAAAAGCAACTTCCCCTCTTTCTATTTCAGTTGCAATCAGGGCCAGATTTAGGTTTGATAGGCCCTCAGCTCCCGAAGGTAATGGGGCCCTTGATATGTCCAGCTGACCTTTGTCAACAACAAATTGTTGCTGTTTTTTGTGTTGAATATATGCTATATGGTAATTGATGGACCTCATAGG